GGTTTTTTTTTGTATAACAAACACTGTATTATGTGATGTGTGAAAAGGCTATATTTATAAAATGACGACAAAATGATGATATACTCAATATAATAATATATTTATTTAATATGTAGTGACAGATTATGTATAATACAATTATATATAAAGACGGATGTGATCTCATCTTGACATGTCGACATGACATTAAACTTTTTAAATGTGCATGAAAAGAAAACAGAGGTGTCGGTCTACGTGAGTCCACGTCTGTGGATTTGTTACCCTTGGAAGTGTTTTTTTTTTTAACTTGTTGTTACTGACCTCGGTTTTATGTTGGACAGACAAATTAGAGCAGTGGTGAAGTTCGGTTTTTATCATTTAAGGCGACTGGCAAGAGCGAAGTTATTTCTTTCTAGGCAGCACCTCGAAACAGCGATCTATGCTTTAATTTCTTCCCATCTGCTGTAACTGTAACTGCAACTGGTTTAAAATGCCGCTGCATTACTGCTATGGTTATATGCTCTCGTAAAAGAGAGCATATAACCCTGTCCTGGCCTCCCTGCACTGGCTGTCTGTGCCTTTTAGAGTTAATTTTAAAATTCTTATGTTTGTTTTTAAATGTTTTAACAATCTTGCTCCGCCTTACCTCTCTGAGCTTCTTCGTGCCTACACACCCTGTCGGTCTCTTAGGTCAGCTGACCAGCTTCTTCTGGAAGTAATGAGATCCAGGAGGAAGCTCAGAGGGCATGGGGCCTTTACTATCGTGGCTCCTAAATTATGGAATAACTTGCCCTTCCACGTTAGAGAGGCCTCTTCACTGTTTTAAAACGCATCTTAAAACCCATTTTTATTCTTTGGCTAGAGACTTAGTTTATCTTTTATTTAAATTAATTATTAACTAACAAATTAAGTATGTTACTTTTATTTATTTGTTTTCTTTTATTTATATCATATGTAATTTTATTATTAAGTTCCAATGTACAGCACTTTGTGTCAGCTGTGGTTGTTTTACAGTGCTTCATAAATAAAGATGATGATGATGAAAGCTCATAGGAAGACCAATGTGAAACTGTATAACCTTATTTAATAAATACTACCTCGCTGCTTATGTACTAAAACCTTCAACGTTGTTAGTACCGGTGTAATATATTTGTGGCCACACGCGTGTTTGTGGGGGCGCTGTTTCTTGCTGTGTGATCAAAATTAAAGTAATTCGTGGACATCACACTGATGTGTTTTTCTTGTGAAACATGTCGGCCCGTCCTATTTAGTTTTTTATAACCTACATATGTATGATATATTTGAATATGGGAGGGAAATCGAGAATAAAAAAGAAAAGCAATAAAAACATGTTTCCGCCCGGTTTCGAACCGGGGACCTTTCGCGTGTGAGGCGAACGTGATAACCACTACACTACGGAAACTGCTACGGTGAGCTGGTGACGTAGCCAAAAATATGTATCACCAAAAAAGAAACAACGTTAACTACAGTCATTTCTATAGTGGTAAAATTAAACAATCTAAAGTGCGAGACCTTCTTCGTGTTTTCCAAAGACGTCCGCCGGGCTGTGAGAGTATTTGCCGGGCTGTGTTGAATATAGATTCTTATACACCGTTTTATATTTATTCTTTATTCTCAGAGTATTAAACCACACCGAGGGAAGAAACAAAAATGAACACATTAATTTAATGTTTATATAATGGTAATAATCAGATTCTCCCACAGTGTATTCTGGTCTTCCTCTGTGAAATCTGCCGCTCGGCT